CAAAGTTTGCAGTGTTACCCTCTGCAGACACTGTCAGAACGAGGTGACGAAGAAAGGTTTGGGGCAACTTTCAGGGACGTGATCTGAGCTGAGGGGACTGGCAGGAAACAGACTCCACCAGAAAAGGACTATTACCAGAGTCTGCGAGCTAGGTAGGAGGGCAGCACCAGGCTCAGCTGAGGACAACCAGCTCCATGCTTGCCTTATTCTCCACTTTCTTTCCAGATCATCACCTTTGGCCTTTAAGGATGTGCTGATTGCTCTGCAAAATTGACATACAAAGTTCAAAATGATAATACCAGAAAAATGTTATAGCTGTTATGTCTGGTTTGTATCCCTCCAAAATTCACATATGGAAATTCTAGCCATGCCCCCCCGCCAAAGTGATGATATTAGGAGGTGTCATGAGAGGTGCTTAGGTCATGAGGATGGAGTTATCATGAAGGATTAGTGCCCTTATATGGGACCCCACAGAGCTCCCTCACCCCTCCTACCCCATAAGGATGCGGTGCACCAGGAAGGGAGCCCTCACCAGATGCTGCCATGATCTTGGACCAGCCACCAGCACTGTGAGAAATAAATTTCTGTTGTTTATTAGGCCCTCACTCTGTAGTATTATTATAGCAGTCCAAGTGGACTAAGACAATAATATGGTCTAAATCTGCTCTTCGTTTTATTTTTTTTATTTTATTATTTTTTAAAGATTTTGTTTATTTATTCATAGAGACAGAGAGAGAGAGGCAGAGACACAGGCAGAGGGAGAAGCAGGCTCCACGCAGGGAGCCCAACGTGGGACTCGATCCTCGGTCTCCAGGATCACTGCCTGGGCCAAAGGTGGTGCTAAACCCCTGGGCCACTAGGGCTGCCCTGCTCTTCGTTTTAAAAGTTAATAAAATTGGGCTGGAGGCAATGTCAAGATGAGAAGTCAAGTTGCCCACTCTCAGTGCCCTGTCCATCATTCCAAGTAAAGTTAAAATAAACATCTTTTTTTTTCTTTTTTTTAAATTTTTATTTATGATAGTCACAGAGAGAGAGAGAGGCAGAGATACAGGCAGAGGGAGAAGCAGGCTCCATGTACCGGGAGCCTGACGTGGGATTCGATCCCGGGTCTCCAGGATCGTGCCCTGGGCCAAAGGCAGGCGCCAAACCGCTGCGCCACCCAGGGATCCCTAAAATAAACATCTTAAAAAAGTTTCTTAATAAAAATGACAACCAAGGGATCCCTGGGTGGTGCAGCAGTTTGGCGCCTGCCTTTGGCCCAGGGCACGATCCTGGAGACCCGGGATCGAATCCCACATTGGGCTCCCGGTACATGGAGCCTGCTTCTCCCTCTGCTTCTCCTTCTGCCTATGTCTCTGCCTCTCTCTCTCTCTCTCTCTGTGACTATCATAAATAAATAAAAATTTAAAAAAAATCTTTAAAAAAATGACAACCAAGGGAGCATCTTCAATCAAAACGACACACATGCTTGAAAGCCCATTCTCTCCTATTTCCAGAGCTTCCTTTGGATCTTCAAATCAGGGTAGGTTAAAACCATTAAGACAGAAAGGCAGCATCACCTGAACGTATATTCATATCAATGGCTGTTGCCCTATAAGATCATTTTCTTAAGATTTTATTTATTTCTTTGAGAGACAGAGAGGAGAGAGAGAGAGAGAGAGAGAGAGAGAGAGAGAGAGAGAGCACACACAGCAGGGAGGAGAGGCAGAGAGAGAGAGGGAGAAGGAGGCTCCTCACTGAACAGGGAACCTGACAGTGGGCTCCATCTCAGGATTTTGAGATCATGACCTGAGTCTAAGGCAGATGCTTAGTTGACTGAGCCACCTAGGCACCTCCTTATGAGATTATTTTTGGTGGGAGGCTGAAGAACCTAATATTTAAGAGCACAGTTGAGTTAAATGATACAATCACATGACTTACCAGTAGGTAGTTTTGCTTTAGTGGATGAATAAAAAAAAAGGTACCTAGATTTATAAATATCAATATCTATCCATCTATATAACATCTTTTGTCCAATCCCTTAAATTTCTTTTTCTTTTCTTTTTTTTAGAGAGGCGGTAGGTAGAGGGAGGGAAGAGAGAGAATCTTAAGCAGGCTCCACACCCAGCATGGAGCCTGATGCAGGGCTCAATCTCATAACCCTGTGATTATGATGTGAGCCAAAATCAAGAACTGGATGCTTAATTGACTGAGCCGCCCAGGTGACCCCAATCCCTTAAATTTCACACTTCCTTTGTCACCTGGTTTCAGATATATATATATACATATATATATGTATATATATGTATATATTTATATATGTATATATATGTATATATATACATATATATATATAGTGTGTGTGTGTATATATATATATATACACACTTTGGTTTTTTTGCAAACCACACATAAGGTGGTTTTTATTTATTTATTTTTTCATAAGGTGATTTTTAAACCAACAATTAAACCACCACTGTTTTTGTTTTGTTTTGTTTTTAAAAGATTTTATTTATTTATTCATGATAGACACAGAGAGAGAGGAGGGTGGGCAGAGACACAGGCAGAGGGAGAAGCAGGCCCCATGCAGGGAGCCCCACATGGGACTCAATCCCGGGACTCCAGGATCACACCCTGGGCCAAAGGCAGGCGCTAAACCACTGAGCCACTCAGGGATCCCCCCACCACTGTTTTTGATGTGTGAATTCAACTTATTCTCATTTGTGAGAACTTTTATTGTTTTTTTCATTGTTATTTATATTTACTATTTGATGTACCTTGATCCTTCTTTTCACTTTATTTTTCTTTTTCACTTTATTTTTTCTATCTTGGTCAATGTTCACTGTATTGTTTTTAAAAAGTTAGGATTAATTTTACTAAGAAGCAAAAGGCAAAATACAATAAAGAAAATCAAGATGACCAGGCAGGCATAAAGATGAGTGGTATAGACTCTTGAAAAGGGTCAATGTGGAAATGTTGGATACAGAAAAACAGATGAGGGCAGCTCTGGTGGCTCAGCAGTTTAGTGCTGCTTCAGTCCAGGGCCTGATCCTGGAGACCCGGATGGAGTCCCATGTCAGGCTCCCTGCATGGAACCTGCTTCTCCCTCTGCCTGTGTCTCTGCCTCTCTCTCTTTCTCTGTGTCTGTCATGAATATATAAAATCTTTTTTTTGTTTGTTTTTTTTTAATTTTTATTTATTTATGATAGTCACAGAGAGAGAAAGAGAGAGAGGCAGAGACACAGGCAGAGGGAGAAGCAGGCTCCATGCACCGGGAGCCCGACGTGGGATTCGATCCCGGGTCTCCAGGATCGCGCCCTGGGCCAAAGGCAGGCGCCAAACCGCTGCGCCACCCAGGGATCCCGAATATATAAAATCTTAAAAAAAAAAAGAAAAATAGATGAATCTTTTTTTTTGCTGTTTTTTTAAAGATTATTTATTTATTAGAGAGAGAGAGAGAGAGAGGGAGAGAGAGAGAGAAACAGGCAGAGGGAGAAGCAGGCTCCATGCAGGGAGTCTGACATGGGACTCGATCCCGGGTCTCTAGGATCACGCCCTGGGTGGAAGGTGGCGCTAAACCGCTAAGCCACCAGGGCTGCCCAAAAAATAGATGAATCTTTATGCCAAAATACCACTTTTGTTAACATTCTAATGCAATTATCTTGAAGCTTGCTTCTTTTTTTTTTGAAGCCTGCTTCTTGAAAATTAGTCTATAAACAGAAATAGTTATATATGCATATATATGATATAAAATATTAAAAGCAATACCTGTATACTCATGAGTTACTTAAGAAAACATGAAGCTTTCTCTTTCTCTGTAAACATAAGTCTTTCTTTCTTCCACAGATGTAATTGCTATCCTAGATTTTGTTAATCATCCACTTGCTTTCCTTTGTACTTTGTTCACATGATATATTTTTATCTTTCTATCTATCATCTATCTATCTCCCTGAACAATGTACTGCTGAGTTCTTTGTTTTTTGAATTTTATTTTTGAAATGCAGTAAAATAGCTACATATTTTCTTCATTCAACATAATCATCTTGAAGTGTTTAATTCATTAATTCATTTTCATTGCCATATATTATCCCCATGGTATGACCAAAACCAACATTTATTTATCTAGTCTATTGTTAATGGACATTTTTTACTTTCCATTTTTGTAAATTGTTACTCCAAAAATTATTGCAGTGTTGCAATGAACATTCTGGTATAGGTCTGTGGGTGCACACATGCAAGAGTTTCTCCAGGGTGGTATTTTTCTGTGATGGAGCCACAGTCATTGTAGATGAGTCTCTTCTTCTTGTCCTTTTCCTGACATATTGCAGGACATTTGGTGTCTTTGGCCCTCCCATATACTAACCACCTATAGCACCCTGCCACAGTGACAACCAAGCAATTCCAGTATTTCCAAACACCCTTTGGGATGCCCAGTCGAGAACTCTTGTTTTAGAGTATGTTATCAAGAGGTGGAACTGTTGGGTCACAGGTTACAGGACTGCTTAGTTTTTACTTAGTCTACATATACCATACTGTTGAGGTTCAGAGACAGTGGTGGGTTCCTATCACAAATCTGACACATCCATAATTCATGTTCTATGGCACATTCATGTACTACATGCCTATATATAGTTCAATATACCTCAGAAAGTCTTCACACATATATTTAATACTGTTGTATCAACAATTTAAAGTATTCCTCCTTTTACAAAAGCTCCACATTTCACAATCTATTAACAGAATATTTTCTGTTATCCTTTCTGTAATAAGTTTGGTTATCACATCTGAAATAGGACTTCTAGTTAAACATTCCCACAAAACATTTTATCCATATTCCTTAAAGTGATAAATTTCCCCTCAGTATCTTTGAATGCTTGTTGAAAGCTTTCACATGTTCAAAGCATTCGTAAGGTTTCACTTCTATATTAATCCTCTAGTTCCAATAAGCTATAACTGACTGATGAGGACTTTCCCACATGTGTTGACATCTTAGCTTTTCTGCCCTTTGATTTTGCTGATGTTCAACGAATCTGATTTGTAGATGCAGGCTTCTGCATGCGGGCAGCATTGATAGTTTTCTTCTTGTGTGTTTTTCTTTGATGTTTGGTGAGGGCTGACCTCTGGCTGAAGGTTTTTCTACATTCATTACATTCATAGGGTTTTTCCCCTGTGTGAATTCTCTGATGTTTTGTGAGGGCTGATTTTTCATAGAAGGTTTTCCCACATTCAGGACATTTGTAGGGTTTCTCTCCTGTATGAGTTCTCTGATGCACAACAAGGTTGGATTTCACACAGAAAGATCTCCAGCATTCATTGCATTTATAGGGTTTCTCTCCTGTGTGGGTCCTTTGATGTTGAGTAAGGTTTGATTTCACACAGAAGGTTTTCCCACAGTCATTACATTTATATGGTTTCTCTCCTGTGTGAGTTCTCTGATGAACTGTGAGGGCTGACTTCTGGCAGAAGGACTTCCCACATTCATTACATTCATATGGTTTTTCTCCTGTGTGAGTTCTCTGATGTTCAGTGAGGTTGGACTTCACAAAAAAGGACTTGCCACATTCATTACACTCATAGGGTTTTTTCCCTGTGTGTGAGCTCTGATGTTGAGTAAGGTCTGTTTTCTTAGGAAAGCTTTTCCCACATTTATTACACTTGTAGGCTTTCTTCCCTTTGTGAGCTTTCTGACTTTGAGTGAGGTGTGACTTCTTACTTATGGTCCTGCCACTTTTGTGATACTCATTAGTTTTCCTCCCCGAGTGCATTCTCTGATGTTGAGCGAATTTTAGCTTCTCACAGGAGGATTTCTCACATTTACTACCTTGAAAGATTTTCTCTCTTGTGTTAATTCTCTGACTTTGAGTGAGGTGCGATTCCTTCCTTATGGCTCTCTCACTATCATTACACTCACTAGGTTTTTCTTTTGTGTGAGTTCTCTGATGTTGAGTAAGGCATGGCTTTTCATGGAAGGATTTCCCACATTTATCACTGTCACAGATTTTCTCTCCTGCATGAGTTCTCTCACTTTGAGTGTGGTATGACTTCCTCAAGGCTCTCTCACTTTCATTATATTCATCAGGTGTTCCTCCTCTGTACATTTTCTGATGTTGAGTAAGATTTGACTTGCTGCTAAAGGATTTCCCCAGTTTATTACAATCATAGTGTTTCTCCCCTAGGTGAGCTCTCTGATGTATATGTGTTGACTTCATGCATGAGGGTTTCCTATTTTTACTGGAGTCACATGATTTCCTTTCCTTAAGGGTTTTTGGATGAGCACTGAGCTTTAATTTTTGGGTGAAGGCTTGTCTGTATTCATTATCTTCAGAGGGTTTCTCTCCTTTGTGAGGTCTCTTATGTGTAACAAAGGCAGCCTTTTTGTGAAAGACTTTCCCACAATTATTATATTCAAGAAGTTTCTCCAAAACAGAATTCTTTTCATGTTGAATAAACTCCTCCTTATATCTGTGGGATTTCTTCTTTTGATCACTTTCATGGGGCTTGTTCACTGCATGAATTTTCTCATGCATAGCATGAAGGGATCCACATCCATTGAGATCATTAGACTTTTTTCTTACATGGTTTCTATTACTAATAATTAATTCTGAAACACTTTCCAAGCTTGTTCCAGATAAGTCACATTTATGGGATATTTTTCTTGAGGGCACTGGGTTTGTGGCCATATTAAATGCTTCTCCCAAGGTCTTAGTTCTCTCCTTATTCAATATTCTGTTGTTGAAGAAGAAAGCTTTCCTCGAATATTTATCTTCCTTTGCTTGGCTTCTTTCTTTCATGTTATTGGCTTCCTGGACTTCTAGAAATATAAGAAATTGACATACATCACAAATCTTAATGCATTTCTTAAGAAATGGCATTATACACAAGTGGCCTATATGGAATTGATTCCTAGGTTCTTAGACATAGTGTTCTGGGATGGAAGAAGTCCTGAGCAAATATTTATTCTCTTCTTTTGGTTTGGTAACATGAAAATCAAGAAAAAATACATATTATAATAGAAAAAAAGGAGAGAAAGCGGAAACTTAATACAAGTGGCTTTGGTTTGTTATAAATATGATGTCAAGATGGATAGTAAGTTTGGAAAAAAAAGACATAAGGAACGTTGTGCTAAGTAAAAAGGATGTCAGGAAAACAACTGATCCAAGGATGGAGGATTTTCTTTTTTTTTTAAGATCTTATTTATTTATTAATTATTATTTTTAAAAATTATTTATTTATTCATGACAGAGAGAGAGAGAGAGAGAGAGAGACAGAGAGAGAGAGAGGCAGAGACATAGGCAGAGAGAGAAGCAGGCTCCATGCAGGGAGCCCAACGTGGGACTCGATCCTGGGTCTCCAGGATCACGTCCTGGGCTGTAGGTGGCGCTAAACCGCTGGGCCCCCGGGGCTGCCCACGATCTTATTTATTTATTGATGAGAGATACACAGAGAGAGGCAGAGACATAGAGTAGGAAGCAGGCTCTCCGTGGGGAACCCGATGCAGGACTCGACCTCAGGATCCCAGGATCATGCCAATCCCAGATGGAGGATTTTCAAAGGATGGGCAAAGACAAAGGATATTGAGGAGGCAGACAAGGAAGACTGGGTGGTAATAGGGGAAGTTTCACAGCCAAGATCAATTTGACAGCAGATCAGAGACTTGAACCATATCCTCCTCTCCCCATGCTTCACCACCTGCAGTGGAATCCTTTACTCCACTCTCCATTTTCCTAATCTCTTCTGCCCCTTTCCCATTCTGTATACTAACTCCAAATTCAACTTATGAAATAACTAATTGCCTTGTGTCCAAAGGTCCAGTCCTATAGTTCATCCCTATCTCTTCACAGAGCTGTGATGTGGTAAAACAATGCTCAAAACGTGTGTTAAAACATAGGAGGGGACAAGCCAGGCTTGCAACAGGATCCAATTCCCCTCTGTATTCTGGTTGTTGGTGCTGTCAGTTGATTCTCTCAGAATAGATCAATAGTTATCTGGCCTGACTGACATCTCTACTTCTCCCTCTTTCAATCTACTGATTTGCTTTGCCAACTGATTGTGTCCTGTCATAACTCCACCTTTATATCATGTTTTCTTCCTCTCTGATTTCTTTTTTATTTCTGTGAAAACTCAAGCAGCTGGCTATCCAGTTTGGTCCAAGGGCCTTTATTAATCTTTGCCTTAAAATTTTTTTAGCTATGGGTGATTATTACTATCCTCTGCTCTTCTCATTTTATGCAAGAAGATCAATTGTATACTTAAAAATACATGACTTTTCTGTAGCAGATAAAACAAACAGAAGCCAATGTGCTAGTAGGGAAAATTTGATATTGGATTTTTACACCTAGAGATTACATTCGGTTCTTATAATTTAAGTTCACAACACATGTTCAAGTGATCAGCCCATAAGTCTACAGTATTGTCAGATTGTAACAGATCAGGGCATTTATTATTTATTTATTTATCTATTATCTATTTATCTATTTATTTATTAGATTTTATTTATTTATTAATGAGAGACAGACACACACACACGCACACAGAGAGAGAGAGAGAGAGAGAAGCAGAGACACAGGCAGCGGGAGAAGCAGGCTCCATGCAGGGAGCCCGATGTGGGACTCAATCCTGGGTCTCCAGGATCACACCTGGGCTGAAGGTGGTGCTAAACTGCTGAGCCACCCGGGCTGTCCTAAACTGGACATTTCTAGCCACAAATCCACTCTCATGTTTTTGACTTGGTTAGTACATATTCTGTCCTTAGCTCTACTCAGAATCTACACATCCCTTCAGGGCAATGCTACTGTCCCATTGCTTTTTCTTTCTTTCTTTTTTTTTTTTTTTTTTAAGAATCTCATCACTTCAAGTTCCATTAATGGCAAGGTTTGCAAGTAAATACTATCTGTACAATGTGTTCTGACACTTTTTTCCATGGCCAGTTTGTGTGATATTTTCTCTACTTAACTACCACAACTGAGCCTAATTTCCATTGCTTCTGGTTATAATTCACACTTTATTTATTTATTATTATTTATTTATTTATTTATCTAATTAGGCAGTTAATTAATTAATTTTTTAAGTAGGCTCCACCTGGGGCCTGAACTCACAACTCTTGAGATCAGGACCTGAGCTGAGATTAAGAGTCAGATGCTTAACCGACTGAGCCACACAGGTGCCCCATTCCACTTTTTATTTTAAGTTTGGGATTTCTACTGCCTCCAACCTCCAGTGAAAATGGAGTTTATATTTTGTCTTTCTTTTCTCTATGGCCTTGAATAATATGCAGGAAAAGAAGAGGCAATGCTGAGTTTACACATCCATCTGCATGCTGGAATTTATTCCTTCCTTCTCAGAACACTTTTTTCACGTGGCTTCTGGGACACCACTGTCTTCTGCTTCCCTCCCCACCATCCTGGGTGCTTCTTCTCAGTCTCGCTTTTTGGAGTCATGTGCCTTCTGGCCCTGCAAACCTAGTAGTCCTTGCCTTTCCCCTCTCACCTAATGTCTCACTCAGATTTAGAAATCAGTCTTACCAGGCCCATAAAACTTTGTTCCTGCTAACTCTCTGACATCAGCTGCTACCTTCTTTGGAAGCCCAAGCCCCTTTGGTCCCACTGACTCCTTGCTGTTCTCTGATTACACCAAGCACACTCCCATCTCAGAGACTTCATACCTGCTGCTCCCTCAAGCTGGAAATCTCTTAGATAATCTGTGCCTCTCTCCATCCCTCCATTCAAAACTCTATTCTACTGTTCCTGCTCAAATGTTCACCTCCTCAAAGAAGCCTCCTCTGATTTCCTTTCCAAAAATAGCACTCCCTATTGATCTCTATACCCATCATCTGACTTTAATTTTTCATATGATAACTACCAGACATACTACATTTTTAATTGCTAGTTGCCATTTTTTTTGCTAAATTTGCCAACTTACTCATTGGATCTACTGATAGGAGTAGAGACTTTGTATCCTCTCTGCTTAGAATGTGACTGGTGTATAGCAGTGCCTAAAATAAACGTTTGTTGAATATAAGAAGGCACCAATAACTGCATATTTACTGAGTGTTTGGCATAGGAGGGAAGATGAACAATAGTCATTACCAAACAGAAAAAAAAAACAGAGAAATAAAGGTCGAGGATGAGTACCAATCGGTTTCTATGAAAGCCAATCTTTCTACATATAAAAGTCAAACAGAAAAAAAAAAAGTCAAACAGAACATGAAGAGCATTTATATAGGAGGGTGCTATTTGGAGGTTTGTTATCTAAGGTAGGGTGATCATCTGTCTTGAGCCACTTCTAAAAGCCTCTAAAAGAGATTTCTCTCTTTTTTTCTTTTTTAGATATTTTATTTATTTATTTATTCATGAGAGACACACAGAGAGGCAGAGACATAGGCAGAGGGAGAAGCAGACTCCCTGCAGGGGAGCTCAATGAGGGACTCGATCCCAGGACCCTGGGATCATGACCTGAGCCAAAGGCAGATGCTCAACCATTGGACCACCCAGATGCCCCACTAAAATAGATTTCTAAAATGCTTTCAAAAATACCCTGAACTGGCCACTTGGGAACCAGTTTCCACCAGTTGTCTTCTATCTACCCTTGTGAACTCACCTGGGCGGCTCTGACTTGGGAGTTCTTTCTTTGGTACCCATGGCTCTTCTCCTTGCTCCAACTTGAATATCAGCTCAGGTTTGGTGACGCAGTGCCCTGTTATGGGAAATGACATGGGACTTGGCAAAGCTGCTTAAAGTTCAGGCCCTTTGAAGAATCAGATGGGAGAAGCTTTAGAAGCTGTAAGGTGATAGGGCCTTCATTAAAAAAGACCTTTTCACCATGGAGGTGAGAATATAACATACTTTCAAGTTCCCTAAGAGGGTCTTTTAATCCAAAATCTCAAGCCTGAAACTCATGGGGCCTTACAGTGATTTGGTTCCTAAGATAGAAAATGCATGTCGTTGACAGGTGCATGGAAGCCATGCTTACCCAGTGACACCAGATGCCTGTAGTTCTCCAGCATCACATCCCTGTACAGGAGCTTCTGGGCAGGGTCCAGCAGCTTCCACTCCTTCTGGGTGAAGTCCACAGATATATCCTCGAACAACACCGATCCCTGTAACAGCCCAGTCCTGCTCACCATGAAGTGCTCAAGATCAGATGGCATGGGAAATATGTATGAGAATGAATTTCTACTGTGTTCATTTTTAAAAAAGCTTTTAGGGTGGAGAGAGAGGGTGAGGGGAAGGAGCAGAGGGAGGAGAGAGAGAATCTTAAGCAGGCTCCACGTCCAGTGCAGAGCCTGACATGGGGCTTCATCTCATGACCCTGAGATCATCACCTGAGCCAAAATCAAGAGTCAGATGCTTAACTGACTGAGCCACCTGGGCGCCCGTACTGTGTTCATTGTTAAGAGTTTACCAGAAAATGTTACAAAGGATGACGTAACCAGGTACCTTCCTTTATGGAAGAAACAGAAATCATAATAGAAATATTCTGCCTTTATATTTATTAATTTATAAACAACAAAAATTTGAGTCCCTCTATATATCTAGAATGATTCTAGTTGTAAGGATGCTAAGGCAAAGGAGACAATGGTCCTGTTATTAAGGTGTTCACAGACCAAGAAGGAGACTTTCTACAAAACACATTCAGGCCCAATAATAATTAACAATACATATAAAATTAAGGGAGTTGCAAGTAGTGCAGCGTGACAAAATAGGTTGGGGGCTTTGAAGAGACTCAGAACAAGTAGAGCTATTTAGTGGTCAGACACAGAGGAATACTGGATTTTCCCCCAGAGACCAGTGGCCTTCAGATACTTAGTCACCCCATTAATTGGAGTTCCTAAGCATCCCTCAATGTATTAACTTGTAAATTATGAATGTCTAGGACTCTGCAGCTAGCCAGCAAAAGTAAAGCTTACTTTCTTAGTTTTTTTAGATACAAAAGAAACATGAGAAGGCATTCTAATACCTTCTTTACATACCTACACTACTTGATTGTCTCATGCAGTTCTCTAGGGTGGATACCTGACTTTGGAGATTACTTCCATGGGAATGGGGACATATACATAAGTAACATGATCAGATTTATATTTTGAAAGCAAAGGCTTAGTAGCAGAGTGGGAGAATGTTTTAAAGCAGTGACTCTCATTCAACTTGATCTTGTCGGCAGGGGGTGAAGGGCATTTGGCAATGTCAGGAGACATCTGTGGTTGTCTCAACTGAGGAAAGGGTGCTTATGGTATCTAGTGGCTGGAGCCCAGAGATGCTGTGGGATATCCTACGATGCTGAGGACAGCCTCTACAACAAAGGATTATCTGGCCCCAAATACTGATTGTGTTGAGAAAGTCTGGGAAGGGTTTTTAAAGGGAAGGGAAGGGAGGTCAGAGAGGAAGGTAATAACCATTATAAGAGAAGATTTTATTTTATTTTATTTTATTTATTTATTTTTAAAGATTGTATTTATTTATTCATGAGAGACACACACAGAAAGAGAGAGAGAGAGAGAGAGAGAGAGAGCGGCAGAGACACAGGCAGAGGGAGAAGCAGGCTCCATGCAGGAAGCCTGACGTGGGATCTGATCCCAGGTCTCCAGGATCAGGCCCTAGGCTGAAGGCGGCTCTAAACCGCTGAGCCACCCGGGCTGCCCAAGAGAAGATTTTAATGTAGTGGCAGGGCCGTTCAGAAGTGGAGTTGATTCTAAATGGAATTAATCAGCAGTTGGTTAGGGCAAGAGGGGAAATGAATGGAACACTACTCCGAGATTATCAGCAAGAGCAGCTGGGTCAGTGCTGGTGCTGTATTTGGAGACTGACAACCCAGGAGAAAGAATAGGTTGGGTGAGAAAAAGATAGAGAGAGAGAGAGAGAAATCCTGGACATGTTATACATAAGGCATCTGTGACACATACAGGTAGAGAGGTCACTACAGATAGAGAGGTCCAGGTGATGGTTAGATATAAGGTCTTGGAGATCAGGAGGGAGGTCCAGGATTAAGGCGAAGTTTGGAAATCAGGAGTATCTCAGCGGTAACTGAAACCATCTGAGTAGGGAGCTTGTCCACAAAGAACAGGGAGATGGAAGATTTGGAACCTAAGAGGGAGCAGGAGGGGGGAGAAGACCTTGGCGACCAAAGAAGCAGGAGGTAGTAGTAGTATCTGCACATAGAGCAGAGCACGTCCATGGTGGTGCTCACTAAACAGCCGTTGAATGAATGAAGCCTGTCTCAGAGGCCACTGGTGGTGACAGTTTCAAGAAGAGATGCTCCTAACTCGACATGATGGGCTGGGCACACACACTGATCTCTTCTGCTTCCAAAACTATAGCAGGGAGAGACATAACCAGTACATGATCAGGGAAGAGGGGTGTAGGGAAGGGGGCTGTCAGCAAGTGACAAATTCTGACTGGTTTCTGTAAGCCATAGAGTAGGAGGCAGATACTGGAGGAAGTGTGCTCATCCCCTAAAACAAACACAGACTGTGCAAGAGTCTGAAGTTCTGTTCAGAGCCAGGCAGGATCTCCCAGCTGGGAAGCAGCTGTGGCAGGAGATGAAGTGGGCTCTGGGCTCAAGACCCAGAGGAATGAGTGGGACTATGAGGCCTGCCACATTCCTAAGTCGTTCTTAGCCCCCAGAGGGGTTGGCTAAGGATTAACACTTGGGAGAACCTTCCCTATAAAAAGCAGGACAACTGCCTCTAGGAGTCTGCGTGAACTTTGCAACCCAAAAGAGAAGCAAGGTACTATGCTGAGTACCCTGAACCAGTCACAGCTTTGCTTTTAGGGCAACTCTAGGGAAACAGATCAACACCCTCTGTCATTGGGTAAGGCACTGCCAGCTTTGGCAGGGAGAAAGGAGGGTCCCCTGGGGCTCTGTCCCCCTCTGTACATCCTACAGAGAGGCCTGTCTGTACACATCTCCCACCAATCCATGTAAAAGGCCCCAGGTCTGTCTTTTCATTCAAGGGAAAAGCTGGCGGAGGAAACAGACCCCTATGCTGCCTAGATCGATCTTATGAGTTTTTTGCCTTTCTTTTTTTTTTTGTTTTTTGTTTTTTGTTTTTTGCCTTTCTATTCACACAGAGAACTTTTTTATTTTTATTTTTATTTTATTTTATTTTTTATTTTTTTTTACACAGAGAACTTTTTTAAAAAGGGCCTCAGATGCTGGAGGAAAAACAACCATTGGAAAAATAAACACGAAGAAAAACTGCTTAACAAATTATTCTTTTATGTAAATAAAAACTAATAGCCAAAAAAAATTAAATACCAAGAGGAATAGATTGGAGCCTATGAAAACAAAATTAATTTAGATACTGAAGACAATAATTTTTAAGATTTCAAACTGGTATCCCCAGATTGATGTCAGAGTCTCACTTCCATAAAATGAGAAAAGTTGGCTATGTGAAAAGCAAAGGGGCCCAGATAGTACAGATGCTTTTTTAATTTTTCTAAAAAAGATTTTATTTATTTATTTATTTGACAGAGAGAGAGAGCACAAGCAGGGGGAGCGGCAGGCAGAGGGAGAGGGAGAAGCAGGCTCCCTGCTGAGCAGGGAGCCTGATGCAAGGCTCTATCCCAGGACCTGGGATCATGACCTGAGCTGAAGGCAGATGCTTAACCCACTGAGCCACACAGGCACCCCAGATAGTACGGATTCTGTTGCTGACTTAGGAAAGCCAAAAAACCTAAAACCCTCCAAAGAAGGCTCAAAAACAAAATGACATGGGTGACAAAAATGAGCAAATCTCTTACCACACAGAATGAAAGCACAGGAAAATGAAAAGGATGACAGGAAAGGAAAGGAGGACAGATGGACCACCGCGGAGAGCCACTGACAGCCTCCCAGGAGCTCTGGGTGGCAAGAACCAAGAGGAGGGTGGGAGGGAAATAATCACGGGAAATCACTAGAAGTGTCCCAGAGCACTTGAGTGTTCATCGGCAGGAGCTGTCCGGTTAACCAAATAGGCACACTGGCAGATGCTGCCCGGCGAAATAACTCAAATCCCAGGAAAGAGAAAACTTGCAAGAAGAAAGAATAAAACAGGTGTGAGAACAGAAACGGCACTCAACTTTTCATTCTCTGCAGATGCTAGGGGATCCTGTTTACTCATCAGACCCTGAAGGAAAAGGAGTCTGAACCCAAATGCTACAACCAATCATCCCTGTAACAGGGCAGAAGAAAGGTACTTCCAGATAGTCAGACTTAGAAAATGTATCACCCACACAGTCGTTTTGTAAGATTCTCCAGAGACCTCCATCAGAACTCAGCAATCAGAGAAGGAATACAACCAGAAAAGGAGAGTGTGGTGAGCAGAGAAGAGCAGGAAAAACTGGTTCCAGGTGAAGCAAGGGGGACTTACAGACCATGCAAGGAAAGAGGCATAGAGTAACTCAACAGGAAACTTCAAAAAAATATTTATGAACTATATGTAGGCAACATTTTCACATTTTTGGACAAAGCAACGTATTGTGAGCGTGAAGCCTGAGAGTCTCGAAACTATAGAAGAAGAGCTGCTATGGTGATTGTTGGGGAAACTGAGGCAAGCTGTGATGGTCCAGTAACAGGCCATCTGGAATGAGGTAGTAAAGTCAGCCACTGAAAATATAGAGAATGACTGGTCCTCTGGATGGACGGGGACTGCCAGAGCTCATGGTCAGCAGAGTGCACCCGAAAACCCTCTTTCTGCCTAAGTATGGTTCCCAGATTTAGTAACCAAAAACGCAGGGCACCCAGTTAAACAACAAATAGGTTTTTAGTATAAGTATGTCTCATGCAAGGTATACTTTATGTACCCTGTGTCTTATCTATAATCTCATGCCTAAGAGCTCTCTCATTCCAAGTTCTTTGACAGGCTTGAACAGAAGCAGATGGTATCTTACTCTCAAAAATGAGTGAAAGCTTGTAGTGGACTTGCACACTAAGACATATTTGACCTATATGGCCAAATTGCTTTTTTTTTTTTTTTCAGTTACCTCTATACCCAATGGAGGACTTGAAGTCCAACCCCAAGATAAAGAGTTGCTGCTGTACCGACTGAGCCAGCCAGTTGGCCAAATCTCTAACGATGTATCCTTAGAACCATTGCAGCTAAAGGCACTTAAATCTATTATTTATACTTTCAGTGAAAAGTATAAATAATAAATTTCATAATGCTATTGTCCTAATTAAAAGAATTAGGTCAGGTAAGGAATTTAACAGTGACTGGAACATGATAAGCAACTCTAAGTTGTAGGTAACATTATAACACCTTATCTTCATACTTTGGATAGCAAAAATAACCAGAAGATGTATATTAGAATTGAAATAATTGGGCAGCCCCGGTGGTGCAGCGGTTTAGCGCCGCCTGCAGTTCAGGGCGTGATCCTAGAGACCCTGGATCGAGTCCCACATCAGGCTCTCTGTATGATGCCTGCTTCTCCCTCTGTCTGTGTCTCTGCCTCTCTCTCTCTCTGACTCTATGAATAAATAAATAAAATCTTTAAAAAAATTGAAATAATTTTTGTTCAAGTAGCTAGAAGGTGTGATGTGATTGTTAACAAAGAATTCAAAAAACTATATTATGTAAAGAGAGAAGAGAAAATGGGAGAAGAAAAGTATTTAGAAGGTTTCCATAGAACCTGAGATAAAGGAGTCTATCTTCCTTAGATGGTACTGTGGATGAAAACAATCCCTGATGTCGACAAGAAGATAGGTTCACATATGCGTCACATACATCAACGGTAATCAATAAGACAACACAAATCAAAGGCAGACCTTCAGAGCCACCAGAAGAGGAAAAAAGGAAAGTCAGATAATATCACAGGAAACAAGTCAAAAAATGAAAAAAATGAAGAAAAACAATCAATGAGAAAACATGGTCACTAATAAAAGGTGAAGTCACTTTTTCATTGAAAAAGTAATTAGTAAATGACTTACCTGGGATGTGTTCATTTTCTCCTGCTCCTGGAAAAGTTTTGAGAACTCTGAGGCCAGAGCTGGAGGAGGGAGAAGGAGCAGAGCAATTATGAGAAATGGGATCTGTCCTGAAAGTCCTCGGAGCCTTTGCCTAGAAACCCACGCCTGGTAGCTGACAGATGGCCACACGGTGGGAGAATGTCTCTGACCCTTCAGAAGGGGCAGGTGCATGGAGGGGACTCTCATAACCCTTGTATAACTGTGGGGAGCTAAGAGAAGCATGCTTTTCATTGCGGGGGAGTAATATTTATCTTACTGGCTTCTTACAATTTACAGCTTTCTTTGATTTAATAGCAGAGAGATATAAAACAAGCCAAAGTCCAATGAAGAAAGAGTCAGTTAAACAAATCTTAGCATAGCAAGCATGACACGCCATGCCTTTGGTCATTATTAAACATGTTATATTTGAAGCTTTTTTTTTTTTGAAGTTTTTGATGCCTGGGATTTACTTTATTTTTATTTAAAAAAAAGATTTTATTTATTCATGGAGACACACACACACACACACAGAGACACACAGAGAGAGAGAGAGAAAGGCAGAGGCACAAGCAGCCTCCATGCAGGGAGCCTGACGTGGGACTCGATCCCATGTCTCCAGGATCATGCCCTGGGCTGAAGGCAGCGCTAAACCGCTAAGCCACTGGGGCTGCCCTGGGATTTAATTTATTTTTTAAAGTTTATTTATTTATTTATTTATTTATTTATTTATTTATTTATTTATTTATTTAAGTAATCTCTATACCCAATGTGTGGCTTAAATTCATGACTCCGAGATCAAGAGTCAGTCCCACAGTCTTCCAACTGAGCCAGCCAAGTGCCCCTGGGATTGAAAACAATCTAGTCATGGAAGGTGGAAGGAAAAATTTGTGTGTGTGTGTGTGTGTGTGTGTGTGAGTGTGTGTGTGTATTTTGGGGGCAGGTATAGATGAAGCAAAATGGTCATAAGTTGATAATGGCTGAAGCCGTGACAAGTATATGGGAGTCATTACATTATTTTCTTTACTTTTGTAAAAATGTGTAAAAAAAGATGCAAGAAACAACAAAAACCTGACAGAGGTCTGCTCATTTACTTTGCTACATATCTATATATCTATATATATATTTAAATTTTTTTTATTTTTAAGTAATCTCTACACATAACATGGGGCTGGAACCTACGACCCTGAGATCAAGTTTTGCAAGCTCTACTTACTGAGCCAGCCAGGTGTCCCTCCTACTTATATTTTTAACTCCTTTGAGTTAAAAAATTAATAGGAAGCTCTGACAACAGGGATAGATGTGCTTATGGAAGTCTGCTTTTTAATTTTTAATTTTTTAAGACTTTATTTATTTATTTGGGGGGGGAGAGAGAGAGAGCAGGAGCAGGGAGGAGAGGCAGAGGGAGAAGCGGACTCCTCAATGAGCGGGGAGAGATCACAGGACCTGAGGATCATGACCTGAGCCATGAGCCAAAGGCAGATGATCAACTGACTGAGCCACTCAGGTACTCTATAAGTCTGTTATTTTATTTTTTAATCTTTAAAAAGATTTTATTTATTTATTCATGAGAGACACAGAGAGAGGCAGAGGCACAGGCAGAGGGAGAAGCAGTCTCCCTGTGGGGAGCCCGATGTTGGACTCGATCCCAGGACCCCAGGATCATGACCTGAGCTGAAGGCAGATGCTCAACCACTGAGCCACTCAGGTGCCCCTATTTTTTTTTTAAGGGATTTATTCTCCTTTGGTTTCAGTGTCTCCAAGGGATTTTTTAAAAAGTTTTTTAAAAAATTTTTAAAAAGATTTTATTTATTCATGAGAGACAGAGAGAGAGAGAGAGAGAGAGAGAGAGAGAGGCAGAGACACAGGCAGAGGGAGAAGCAGGCTCCATGCAGGGAGCCCGATGTAGGACTTGATCCCAGGACTACAGGATCGCACCCTGAGCCAAAGGCAGACGCTAAACCGCTGAGCCACCCAGGGGTCTCCAAAACCTTGTACTTAACCCTATGCTAATGACTCCCTCAGACCCAATACTGCTCACTTTTAAAATGAGACGGGGTTATATAACCCCTGAAGCCCCTTGCTATACGCCTACAAAGGCAGGAATGTGGGGGGGGGCAGTAGCATATCTATAAGTTCCAGGTAAGGGGATGGCCATGGTTTGGGGACTGTGCAGCATCCCCAAGAGGGACTGGAAGGAGAATAAAAAGGGGAGGAGTTCGGGGAGGAGAGGAGCTAGTGTCTCCATGGCCGTCCTCCCAGACCACAACCTCTTCAACTGTCCAGTGGATGTCCTCATCCCAGAAAGCCTGCCTCTTGCTCACCTCTCTCTTGAAAGTCGGCCCAACCTTCACGGAGGGACACTTCTTGACAATCCCTAGTGCCGTGATGTTACTCATGGCAGAAGGGTCACAGTCATTGCCTCCAAGCAAGCAGAGATAGAACCTGCTTGTTTCCTGGATCTGTGCCCTGCAGCTGTGCCCCGGCTTTCTCTGGGTAGGGTGGGATCTCCCAGGTGGGAATCCTGTTCCTGATGGCCCCACCTTCTTTCCTTACAAGAGCTGTGGGATCCAAGGAAATGTGAACCTGGCTGGAGGAGGTAAATTCACACAACGGGAGTCTCCAGCCCAGGTCCCAACGGTCTCTGGGACTTCCCCACCCCCTACAGCAGAAGTTCTCAGTGAGGCTCCCAGACCAGCAGGAGCAGCAACGGTCAGACACTTGATAGAAATGCAAATTTGGGGGCCCCTCCCAAACCTATCGGTTGGGAGACTCTAGGGGTGGGGCCTAGCCAGCTCTTGGGTTTTGACAAGTCCTCTAGGTGATCCTGCCCTGCCGCAAGCTTATTTGGGAACCACTGTCAGAAAAATCTGGTTTGAGAGTCTGTAAACTGTTGCGGTCACAGGGCAGATGGACAATGAAGAAAGAGCAGAGAAGCCTCCAAAACCTGAGGGCTCTAAGCAGATGTCAAGAAATCTCCAAGAACTCTAGAGAGGACTCAGCTGGGGACACTCCAGGTTCTTCCACCTGGCTCGTAGAGACTTGCCACTCTGTTAAGTGCTGTGAAGGATGCGCTGCTGGACAAAACCCAACATAGGATTTGGAAATAAAACTGTCTGAGGTTTGCATGCCAGCTCCTTCAATTACTGTCCATGACACTTCACCTCCAGAGTCTTGGTTTCCTTCTTGGTTAAAATGGGATTAGTACCAATTTTACAGGGGGTCTCAAGAAATCAATAATATTCTTAATGAAAAGAACAGTGATAAAGGCAATTAACATTTCCCAAGGGGGATCCCTGGGTGGCTCAGCGGTTTAGCGCCTGCCTTTGGCCCAGGGCGCGATCCTTGGAGTCCCGGGATCGAGTCCCACGTCAGGCTCCCGGCATGGAGCCTGCTTCTCCCTCTGCCTGTGACACACTCTGCCTCTCTCTCTCTCTCTCTCACTCTATGTCTATCATAAATAAATAATTAATTCTTAAAAAACAAAACAGAACAAACATTTCCCAGGTATTTACTGAATGCCAGGACCTGTGCTGAGTGCTTTACAGGTGCTATCTGATTCAATCCTCAGAACAACCTGGAGACAGGTTATAGGAATAAGTTCATTTTACAGACAGGGAAACTGTAAAGTATGAGTCCTAGAGGCTCATCACTTGGCCCATGGAGACTCAGTGGCTGAGCTAGAATTTAAACTCATCTGAGTTCAAACTTTGGCTTTTTTTTTTTTAAAGATGTTATTTATTTATTCATAAGAGACACAGAGAAAGGGGGTGGCAGAGAAGTAGGCAGAGGGAGAAGCAGGCTTCCTGTGGGGAGCCTGATGCAGACTCGATGCCAGGACCCCGGGATCACGCCCTGAGCCAAGGCAGGGGTTCAACCCCTGAGCCACCCAGGCGTCCCCAAACTTGGGCTCTTCCATCAGCCCGCTACAGTGCAGACCCACCACCTGCCCTTAGCTTGCAGGCGTATAATAAATGTTCTGGGAATTCACTCCCACCTCCGCTGCTGTCGTGGATTTGACTCGCTGGTGAAGGGTTAACCAGGGCACATGCAAATTCGAGGAGCTCCTGGAAACAGTTCTTTCACATTCAGATGTCTTTTCTCCGTGCACTTTATTCTGACCCGGAAACCCGTGCCCCTGTCCTCCTGGAACCTGCGGGAACGCAGCCACGCTGCTCTGTCCCTGGCTTTCTTTAGGGTCTCAGCCCGCGTGGGATTCGCTCAAGTTTTTGCTTCCAGCACGTGTGGACACAGACCTATCCCGCGCCCGGCAAAGCAACGGTGCAAAGAGGTTCTCACCTGTAGTGCGCATCCTTGTGCAGGAGTCGGCCCGAGCAGCGCGTCGACCCCGGGTCTCCACGGTTACCTGCGCTGCGAAGCTGGAGACAAGGGAGCGGGCGAACAATGAGACAGAACTGCACATGCGCAGGAGCAGCTGCGAGGGACCAGTTCCCTGGGCTCCTCTGTGGGGAATCCATCAAATTCGGGACTCCGTTTCCCATCAGTCTGCGCGCCCCCTTTCTTAGGGAATGTCGGAAGAGTCTCTGCCTTATCTGGTGAATTAGGTTATTTGTCCAAAATCATCTTTACTTTTGCTTGGAGCCCTGGTTCCTCCATGACCCCTGGATTAGGAATCTGAACCTGGTTCCACCTACGACCCTGCTCAGGTCGTGATCCCAGGGATCCCAAGGGTCCCAAAGGATCCCCTTTGATCCCTTTAGACTCAAAGCTACCTGGAGGAGGAAAGGTAGGTATCCACTGCACACACGAAAACATAACATTTTAACTAAAGTACTAGGAATTTTAAAGCCCAGCACTATAGGAAAAGATTGATGCCCACCCCCAGCCAGTATTCTCCCAGGAATGCAAACACCATCTCCACTCAAAATTAGATTCAAAGTTCACTAAGATTGTTCCTAAAACAGCAGATACGCAAAAATTGAAGGAAGATTTGATCAAGGACAGCCCTCATAATCTCCCCACCCGGAGAGGACCATGTT